GGGGGGGGGGGGGAGGGGAGCGGGCGGGAGAGAGAGAGAAGGGGGTGGCCAGGGCTACAGCAGGGGCGCTGCCACGCGGCCCCTCCTGCTGCGCCGCCTCCTGCTGCCTACCGCGAGGGCTCCGCTCCGGTCAGCGGGGAGGACTGCCCTGCAGGGCGCTCTGGTTCTCCGTGCCGCCGCCCCCTACAGGGCGGCCGGAGTGGAACAAAAAAAAAAAAAAAGCGGCCGTGCTGCCCTAGGATTGGGCAGAATGCCGCCTTGAACAATCTGCTGCCCCAAGCACCAGCTTCCTCAGCTGGTGCCTGGAGCCGGCCCTGTCCTTAACCATATAAGGATTTATACTCTTTAACACCAGTACCATTAAACATACCCAGAAGAAGATAAAAAGTCTGTGCTGTGAACAATCACACACAAAGTACTTACATTGATCAGCTGTTTTAAGTAGGCAGTGTGCCACATTCTACATTAGCTAAAGTATGAGTGGTTTTCATATGTAACCCTAAACAGAGAGTGTTGCATGAATACTTGTTTGGTTTTGTTAGTTGCATGATTTTTTTAAAATACTGCTACTTAGAATTCTGTGCACATTTATATAATAGCTTTAGAGTCCCTCTTTCTTTTACAGTGTGTCTCTTGAAAAATTATTTTATGGCATAGTGGAAGGAGTCTGATCACAAGAAACTTAGAGCCCACTTCCTGTTGTTGGGTCAACCAGCTTAGGAGCTAGGATTTCAACGCTGTTACAGCTCTTGTTTTGGAAGGTGATTATTTTCACCATCAATAGGATGTTCTAAAATAGAAAAAGGAATTTGAAGACAGCTGATTAATTTTAATATTTGTAGTGTCCTTTTTAAGTAATTCTTAAAAGGAAACTTTTCTTTGATTCTTGTCAAGTAAGTAATACAGAAAACTACAAAACTGTTTTAACAGCTGATATTTTAAACTTTCACTTTTTCAGGAACTAGATATTGTGTAAATCCAATCCATAGTGCAGCTATAAATGCAAAGACTACTAAATGGAGTTCTAACTAGAAACTAGTGCTGTAATTTGTTAATTTATTGGAACTTGAATTTGCTTTTGAATGTTTTGTATTCTTCTTTGATATAGGTTATAACCACAGATACTAAATATAACTCAGAAATATTATCTGGTTTGGACCCTTGGACAATATATTGCCTTCAAGTTCAAGCAGTTATTCCTGAATGGAACAAAACAGGAAAACTGAGTGAAGAGTTCTGTGATAGGACAACTGATAATGGTAATAGCTAATGCACCAGTACATTATAAACATATTGAGTAATTATGAAACACTGTAAGACACTCATTGATTGATGTAAAAAGAAACAAAAGCATGCATGTAAACCTTCAGAAATGTTTTGGTACTTCCGTATTTTTCATTGTGATATCCAAGTGTATCTCTAATTTGCAAAAAAAAAATTGAAACCTTCATGCCAGAAAAAAGGAGAGCTTTAATTCAGTCTCTTATAACTACAAATAATAAGATACACAACAGTATAAATGTACTCCCATGCAGAGAACTCATATGAGGCACGTCCATCCCTAAAGCCCTTCAAAGCAAGATTTAAATGCAATTTAAGTGGTGCATAGGCCTTGTGCTGGCCCTTCTGCACAGGCGTAAACGTCATCTACCCATAAGCCAATTTATGTTTGTTTGTGAACCCTTTGGCTTCCACAGGCCTAGCGGAGAGTAGAATTTGGCCCTGCATTGCAAAGTCTGATTCTGTTTACATTTTGTAACAGAATTACATTGTTGAAATATTTTTTTTGAAATGGATAGAGCTCAGTCATGCTTTCTTTTTCTGTTCTCATGTTTAAAATCTTTAACTAGGCAAGCATGCCAGATAATCAGTTTTCTTCATGGTTACAAAAAGCATGTAATTTATTAGTCAAGGTACATCTTCCAAAGAAGTGAAATCCTGGTCCCACTGAAGTCAATGGAAGTTTTGCCATTGTCTCCAGTGGGACTAAGATTTTACCCAAGGTGTTTTTCTCTTGGTGCAATCCAAAGCTACCATTATTATCAACTCTCAATATAAACAACTAATTTCTTTGTTTAAATATTTTATTTTTATGCAACTATACCAGTAAGTGCCAATCATAAAAAATTCTCCAATGTAACATCTGCAATGCCTAATCAGCATTCCAGTCTTTCATTTTTTATAGCACTAACCTGACAGTGGAAACTGGCTGCACACTCCAATTTCCAACCACTCCACCTCAATAGCTATCTATGGAATAGCTATTTATGGTGGCAGTAGCCACCATCAGTCAGGTGGCCTCCTCTTAGAAGAGAGCTTTGTGTTTCCATTTAAAAGGAAAAGTGCAGTCCCAGACTAATTAGTAAGCAGCTGCTTAACAATCATAGACAGCTTTAAAGTGATACCTCGATCAATCTTTATTCGTATCACATGCTGTGACAATCCCGTGCATGAAACCAGGCTTTTAGAAGACACAATATTTTGGAAGTTAAGGAATTTTGGACTACCCCCACCTCCAAATTAGTTGTCATTTTTGTTACCATTATTTCATGTTTCCTTTAGAGAGAAACAGAATTCAGTGCTCTGGTTTGAAGCATCCAGGAATAAGTATACTGGGACTTCACATGTTGTTACCCTGCTTTCCCCCTTCCCCCATTTACCTAGAATTTTTTTCTTTCTGTAAATGTTTACATATCATGGCCATAGGTCAAACTTATCTAGTGAGAATGTCATGAGTGGTTGAAGTAAAAACAAAGTTGAGATATTCTTCCTTTTGGGAACAAAAATATGTATTTGTTCATTCACCAAAATAGTTGCTAATACAAAAAAGTGGAGGAAATTTTTTTTATTCACTTACGAGAATTAAATTCTGAAAATTGTATATTCAAAATAATAATAAAGAAGAATCAGGTTAATAAAGAAGAATTTCTCTTCTTGTCTCTTGCAGGTGTAACTCCAGTGTGGATAATTCTCACTGTTCTTGTAGGATCAATGTTGGTTGTTCTAGTATCAGTTCCTGCCTGTTTCTTTATCTTTTCATATATATATCGACAGGCCAGATATGTCTTCTGCCCGACGTATTCTTTTCCACAACATCTGAAGGAGGTTTGTCTATTTGTATTCTACACAGGGCCGGCTCCAGGCACCAGCCCAGCAAGCAGGTGCTTGGGGCGGCTAACGGTGAAGGGCGGCACGTCCGGCTCTTCAGCAGCAATTCAGTGGCGGGTTCCTCACTCCCTCTCGGAGGGAAGGACCTGCCGCCGAAGACTGAAGCGGCGGCGGTAGAGCTGCAGATCACGATCGCGGCTTTTTTTTTTTTTTTTTTTTTTTTGCGCTGCTTGGGACGGCAAAAAACCTGGAGCCGGCCCTGATTCTACATAAAATAATTAAGTAAGCCTTCCAGGAGAGCCTCTTGTCTGTCAAAGACTCCTGAAAAGCTTGCAACGCTTGCATGTGAACCTTCTGACAGCAGTTCCTCATTCTTACACATGCACCTGGATAGTTAACTAGCTGTGTTAGTGTTACATGGGTTTTGCCTGAAGTGAATGTATGGGGTAATGCTGGTTATTAGGCACACAGGCTAAAAGAACCCAGATGTAGTATATATGTTGCAAAATAATAGATATGAGTCTTAGCAGCTATATGGTATGATCTGTTTAAGCTATGTCACCTTTGGTTACTTTAGTTCACTTGTCATAAACTGCTTGTGTGGTTGACTGTCATTTCAAACCCTTATCAACTGCAAAAGTTGATTAATCTGCTGCCAAAGACTTTGGACCAAACTGAGCAGTAGTTCAAGTGAGTGTAAATAGTGACGTAATGTAACTTGAGCCAATTCAGCATTCAGTTGGCTTCATTCCACAACCTTCTCCCACACTGCATAGGGACTGGGCTACACTTTAAATTTATACTGACAAAACTACATCCCATAGTGACATAGCTATGCTGACAATCCTCCCCCCATGTAAATGCAACTGTGCTGACAGAACAGGGCTTCTAACAGCATAACTAACCTTGTTTGGGGACGTGGTTTTCTTATACTGGTAGAACTCCTTTTGTCAGTGAATGCTGCATCTAGGGGGCTATGCCAGCATATACTATGTTAGCATAGACATAACCGAGTACCTTACTCCATCGTCTGTATCTGTTGATTTCTGTGGCACTGCTCAGCATGAGTAAGAGTGGTGTTACTCTTTAGTAAATGATGAAATCTTGCCCATCTGATATGTTGTAACAGAATGCTGTAAAGGAAGCATTCAAAAGCTCAGCCATATCACTGAGACACGGTGGGTGAGGCAATATCTTTTATTGGACCAACTTCTGTTGGTGATAGAGAGAAGCTTTCGAGCTTCACAGAGGTTTTCTTCGGGTCTGGGGAATATACTCTGTGTCATAGCTAAATACAAGGTGGAACAGATTGTCTAGCGTAAGTAGTTGACACATATTTCAAGGGACTGTTCAAGGTGAAGTGGCCCGTTAACCCGCCTCCAGTGATGAGGGAAAGAAAGAAGGGAGGAAGGGCAGTTGGAGGGGTTGTTAGTGGGTTATATATTATTTTAATAAACCATAAATCCTGTCTCTCTACTCAGTCCCTGATTTTTAGTGTCTAGCAAAGTTATGAATTTAAGCTCCCAGGCTCATCTTTTGTAGGTTTTTTTTTTTTAGTCATTTACACATACGGTGATGATATAAAACCTTGTTTTACCAATTATGTGGGTGCTTTAGAAACTGGATGTTTTTGTTTTGCATGTTTTCTTCAACCAGCCCCCCGATTCCTAAATTCAATAAATAAGTAAATACATTCTATTCAGAACTGTTAAGAATGCAAAACAGAAGCCATGTGGATTTTATTCTAAATTTTAGCCCAAGGCTGGCCTCTTGTGGTTGGTTTAATATTACAGCCAAGTACCATTTAGACCAGTGGTTTTCAAGCTTTTTTCATTTGCGGACCCCTAAAAAATTTCGAATTAAGGTGCAGACCCCTTTGGAAATTCAACCTGTGGTCTGTAGACCCCTACCATAGAAGTCTTAGACTGAAAACTGACTGTACAGAATTCAGCTATAAATGTTGCACATGCTTGGCACAGCATTTGACACAGCGTGAGAAAGGGTGCTAAACTGGGCTTCGGTGGTAACGACAGCACTTCTGGGTTTTGACTGAAGGTGGGGATATTCAGCTAATTTCAATTGATCAGAAAAACAGAATGCCTTTTTTGCGATCTGAAACTTTATTTTTGGAGTCACCTTTTGCAGTCCCCTTAGCCATGGTCTGCAGAATCCCAGAGGTCCACAGACCACAGGTTGAAAACCACTGATTTAGAGTGTCCAGAATGAAGGGAGGAAACATGTTTAAGTAGTGCTTTATGTTTCTAAGAAGTTTGTAATCACGTTTTGCCTTATCTGCTCCCTGGTCACTTCATTTTTAAAAACAAGTTAACATGGAATATGTGTCCCAGCGTGGAGGAGGGCCTTGTCCCTTTGTGAGCTGAAAATATCCATGTTCAGTGCAAGTATGTATAAGAAATCTATGAATATTTAGAAGAAATACATACTTCCATTTTAGGTGATCTTTTCTCCCCTCAGTATATACACAATGCCCCTTAAAGTTAAAGGAGGTTAGATATGTATTTTGTGAAGAGAAGACCCTTAAAATTTTCATTGTGCTAGATGTTTGTAGGAAAATATAACAATATGCATCCTAAAACTCAGAGTTTGGGAGGGGTCATGTAATTATTATTTTATTTTACTTTGGGGGTTGGGGGAGGGGAACCATTGAGAACTACCTCCAATGTTTCATTTTAGAACTCCAGTTGAGGGTTAAATAAGTCAAAATGAAGGACATAAGAACAGTGCAGCAATAACGTAAGATGATTTGCTTAACATCCATAATATTCTGTGTAACCTCCATTTTTTTCATGCAGATTCTCATACCGTGTAACTCATTCAAACCGCTCTCTGCTTAACAGAAGGCTGGACATGTTCCCTGACAAAAATGAGTAATATTCAGTGCTCTGTTGTTTATATGAAGGTGTCAGAGATCTCTGAAACTCTAAAGTATTAAGGGAGAGTAGCAGACGGGTCAGATTGCGGGGGGGAAGGAGGTGGTACTCTACTAAGCATCACACCCAAATAAACTCTGCCCATGTGAATTGCTAAAATGAGCTGTTGTTCTGACCAGATTGAAAAGGTGTTCAGTATATGCTCGTTTCACTCTGAGCTCTACAGGGACTCTTGAGTTTTGCTCCCTCTTGATTGGGGTGTGTGTGGAGAGGAATTGTTATATCTCCCAAATCCCACCCACTTGTGGCGTCAAGATGAGACATCACTCACACTAAATTGTATAGATCTGTGATCCTCCCTCCCTCTCCTTTACTTGAGAAAGTAATGTTGACATTTAAATCATCTTTACTGGACATCTAATTTAACACCTCCCTGAGCTGAACGGGGCAATACACACCTCTAAGGTCTATTGTTTGAGTCTCTCTTCAGACTTCTATTGTTTAGGCTATGTCTATACTTAGGGCAGGTCTACGTTAAAAAGTTAGGTCAACCCAGCTACCTCACTCAGGGGTGTGAAAAATCCAACCCCATGAGCGACATAGTGAGACCAACCTAACCCCCAGCATAGACAGCGCTACCACTTCTCAGGGAAGTGGATTAAGTACAGCAATGAGAGAACGCCTCCTGTCACTAGTGAGTATCTACACTGAAGCACTACAGCAGCACAGCTGCAACTGTGCCTCTCCAGTGGTTTAAGTGTACACATAGCTGTGACATACCCAGGATACAAGACAGACTAAGGACCCCTGCCTTCTAACCTGGGGTGCCCTTTATAGTGCTTTGTGGCTGTAGCCTCTAGCCTGGACTGCTCACAAACAGCAGCCAGCATGAAAGTCACTCCCAGCTGTGTCTGTGTGTGTGTGTGTGCTGCAGCCAGCCAGACACACCTTGGCTCTTACCAGCCTTGGCTATACTGAAGGGTACCCCAAAACACCCCCAGTATTAGATTCTCGCTCAGAAATGTATGTCCTGTACCGCCCAGTCCTCTCCTGGACAATGCAAGTTTATATAAAGTCCATCATTTTATTACTAGAAATGATATGCACACATCTTGTTACCCGAAATGGAGTTCCCCAGACACTTCAGTTTAAACACACTGGATTAGATAAAACAAAACAAGTTTGTTAACTACAAAGAGAGATTTTAAGTGAGTACAAGTAATGAGGCATGAAAGTCAGAAATGGTTACAAGAAAAAGATAAAATGCAACTGGTGCCTAACTTAACTCTTAAATTCAAAGCAAGGTTTTCTCATCACCTGCTTTCAGTAATCCTCTTGCGCAAACCTCTTAGGTCAGGACCCTTCTCCAGTTCAATGGCTGCTTCCTTTGTCCCCCCTGGTGCAGTGAATCGATGGTCAGAAAGAGGGAGAGGAAGGGGGCCATTTGGGGTATCTGCCCCTTCTTTTTATAGTCCTATCCCCCCTTTGAGAAGCATTTCCAGCTGGGAGTAAGGAGACAGGTAGTCTGCGTGAAAGGGAACTCCATGTTGTTTCTTTGCTAAGATGTAGATTTTTTTTGCTCCTGTCCCCTTTCCTGCCAAAGAATGGCCACTTAGCAAGTAATGGTCCATCGGCTTTGTTTACACCTGACTGAGGCGTCGACTTGCCCTTTGTCTCTGAGGAACTCGTTTGGCCACTCCTCAGACTTCTCTGGAAAACATACATTTTAGTCATGATCTCTCATCTTATGTTTATAACTTCACCATATAATGTTGCTACATGCATTTGGCTGTGATATTTTTGATCAGCAAACTATGAGTTTTTAAATTATACCTCACAAGGCATAGTTTGCACAAAGATCATTACAATAGTGTGTAGGGTATGAACACAGGTACATTCTGTCACAATAGCCTAATACACACAGTAAATAGTTCTATTTGTCTTAATTATTTTATTCTAATCAACCACATTTCTGTAGATGGTATTTGTTTTTGCAAACTGTTTGAGCAACAGTTTGAGAGATCATCAAAATAGTAGTTGCCTAGATTATGTGAATTTAAAATATAGGCCTATATGTGGGGGGGTAGCTCCAGTCAGGCCAATGGGGCCACGCATGGGGCAGGGCGGGGGGATTCCACGCCTGCCTGAGGCCTACAGTTTTGGGGGGCAGCACCCCCCTCTTAGCCCCCAACTATGCCCATGATTTAAAAGTCAAATAAATTTGTGCTGGAAACTCCAGAGAGGTTAATAGGACAGACAACATTTTTCTTTTGTTATCATTGTACAGTTCTCACAAATGTTAAAAAATTATTTAAAGGAAAAATGTTGGTATGGCTCTGCACTGCATTTAACCCTCATGTGAGTAATAATTCAGAATTAATGTGATTCGCTTTGAAATAGATTCTGTCAGAATTTTTTACGAGGATATATTAAAAGTGGTAATAATCATTTCTATATTTTGTTACTGTGGTGTTAATCCAGAGAGAATTCTTTCAGTGCATTGGAGTACCCATTGCTTCTTGAATGAGCATTGTTGTGTATCAATAGCAAGATTAAAGAGAATCTGATTAGGTCACATTGGAGGAGAGGTTGTCCAATGCATGTTGAATAGCGAGTAAAAATTAACAGATACACTTTAAAGTGGTCTACACTTAAAATTTTTGGTGGCATAGCTCTTATGGTCAGGGGTGCGATTATTTGCCTCTATCCCCAACCACCGAAGTTATACCAGCAAAAGCTCTAGCACAGATGCAGTTATACTTGCAAAAAAGTCCTTTTGCTGGTATAGCATATTTCATTCGGGGAACTGGTATAAGCCATATAGATGAAAGCACGCTTTTACCAGTATAAGCTGTGTCTAGGAGGGTTTGCCAGCATAGCTAGACCTTTTCTAGTGTAGATGAGGCCTAAGACAGTGAGTCACCAGTGCAAGGTCTTTAAAGACTGCTGGGAAAACTAACTGATGCTGATGCTGGGAAAGAGGAACAAGCAGAGTTTGATTCTTATTTCCCCTCTTTTCTTCCAGTTTTTGAGCAAGCCTTCCTACAGTTCACAATTTCTTTCGCCACGCTCACCGGAAGAGGATCACTCCTTTGACAAGTTAACTGTCATTTCAGAAGAATCTGAAAACTGTAGCGATGAGACAAGCAACAGAAAGGAGCAGCTTCAGGACTCCCAAGAAGAGATTTCTATTGCAGAAAAAGTTTCAGCTTTTGAAAAGGGATCAAGTTCAGTCTTATACCTGATTCAGGCTGAAAACAAATACCCAAATAGACAATTAAATACGACTTTATATTGAGAATGCAGCAGCAAGCACTTGGTAAAATTCCAGATTTAAAATGTCTAAAGAGAATTTCGTCAATCATATTTATTTTTCAACTCTGAGAAACATTATTATAAATGAGTCCTGAAGTGGGATGCAATTTTTAGCCACTCATTTTTAATGACTTATTTATAACCTGTGGCACTAATTATATTGCACTATAATATGGTGCTTCTTGTAAAGTAAGTATTAAATATATAATTTTTTATTTTGTTGAATATTATTAAAGTTAATCAGAATTATGAACAGCACAGCATAGTTTTCAAAGGAAACTTTTCCTTTCCAAGAAAACGTTGAGATTTAACTGATTTTAGTATGAAAATCTTTGTATTTTGTTTCGGTGGTTGGCTTAAAATATGACTAATAGTGAGTAGAATAATATTTTATATTTGATTTATACATGACACTAAAATTATGAAGTTTTTCTTGATAGGTACCACTTTAATAAAATGGTAGCAAACAATTTCCGTATGTTTTAAATGTGAGAAATTACTTATGGGACATACTTCATCATAGGCTTACAGTGGGGCAATGGAGCTGTGACAGTTTACACCCTTTAAGGATCTGCCCCTAGTTCTTATAGCAAGTCACATTGAGCCTAATCCAAAATCACTGAAGTCAATGGAAAGACTTTCCAGGAAATGGGGTTAAATATTAAACTCACCTCCATGAATCTGCTAGACCATATAACTTAATTAATAGTCAGTTCAGAAATGGTCAGCAGCTAGGCTATATTGCTGTGTACATAAAAAGAAGATAGTTGCTGCATGGGCTAAGAAAAATAATATTGGGCATATAGTTTGCTCTTACTTTAATAGAAACAAATCCTTCAAGTGCTGCAAAGTTATCTGAACATACTGTATTATATTTCTGCAAAATGTCAAATTTTTCCTCGGCAAAAGTGGATTGCAATGAGTATATTATGTATAAAACATAATTTGTTATGTGGGTGGCGAAATTCATTGCCCTAATTTTTGTTTTTATTATAGGGATAGGATAAATTTGCATCTTTTAGAGAACTAATTCAGAAAGAATACACAAAAAATAAAGGAAATTGATATTTCTTCAACATATCACATGATAGTATGCTTAATATACAAATGTATTATTGGAAATTTTTTTCTTTGTCTCTTTTTAAAATATTAATGGACAAAATATTGAGAAAATGGAGGAAGGTAAGAAAAACATTTTCATTAAAGAAAGGCATTTTGTTGCAGGAACACTCTTGCATCAAATCTATAGTTACAAAAGTGTCTGCAATATTCATGCAATATTCACTGTACTCATTATGAAAGAGTCAACTTTCTACAGCTAGCAAGGAAGAAAGTCACACGGAACTATTACGCACTGTTGTAGCCCCTCTCTCTTTTCCCTGCTTTCACAATACTCCTTCAGCTAAACTGATTTCAGGAGGTTGAAGGGAGATAGCTTGTTGATAGACGTGATTTGTTTGACGTTGTCTCCAATGGCAGCAGTTTTTTAGTTCTGTTGACAGGTACCTACGTGCAGCAGTAATTTAAAAGGAAGAGAGATCTATTTTCACTATTTACTTTTCAATATATAAAAAGGAGCCGTGCAATATTTATTAAAAAATAATAGTACTTTGAACACCACACTCACAGCCCAGCCTAGCCAGGAAATGCCCAGTAAAATAGACAGGTCTTGCAACAATCCCTGGAGGATAAGAAATCCACAGCCATTCTTTAGACCAGTGGTTCTCAACCAGGGGTCCGGGGCCCTCTAGGGGACCGTGAACAGGTTTCAGGGGGGCTGCCAAGCAGGGCCAGCATTATACTTGCTGGGGCCCAGGGTAGAAAGCTGAAGCCCCCTGCATGGGGCTGAAGCCCACAGCCCTGAGCCCCGCCACTTGGGGCTGAAGCCTGAGCAATGTAGCTTTGCAGGGGTCTCTGTGGCGTGAGGCCCCAGGCAATTGTCCAGCTTGCTATCCCCTAATGCCAGCCCTGGTTTTTATATGCAGAAAACCAGTTGTGACACAGGTGGGCCATGGAGTTTTTATAGCATGTTTGAGGGGAGGGTGGGGCTAAGAAAGAAAAAGGTTGATAACCTGAGCTTTAGACCACAGGAAGCAGTAAATTGTATAGTGGAGGACTGTGACAAAATGCTGGGAGCAACAGAACTAGCATTCTGGTCACTGTTTAATCAATTATGCTGGGCGAGGGGGCTGATTAAGGAGAGGAGTTCCTGATTATCCCACTGCATAGGAAAGTTCCCAACTATCCTACTGCGTAGGAAAGATAGGACGTATGGCAAGAGATCGCCCTGTCTTCACCAGGAGATCTTCAATGATCTGATACTCAAAAGAGAGTCCCAAAAAAGTGGAAACTAGGTGAAATTACAGAGGATGAATATAAACAACATAAGTATGTAGGGACAAAATTAGAAAGGCCAGGGCACAAAATGAGATTGAACTAACTAGAGACATAAAGGGTAACAAGAAAACATTCTACAAATACATTAGAAGCAATAGGAAGACCACAGACAGGATAGGCTCATTACTCAATGAGGGGAGAAAACAATAACAAAAAATGTGGACATGGCAAAAGTGTTAAATGACTTTTTTGTTTCAGTTTTCACCAAAAAAGTTAGTAATGATTGGACATCTAACATAGTGAATGCCAGTGAAAGTGAATTAGGATCAGAGGCTAAAATAGGGAAAGAACAAGTTAAAAATTACTTAGACAAGTTAGATGTCTTCAAGTCAGCTGGGCCTGATGAAATACATCCTAGACTTCTCAAGAAGCTGACTGAAGAGATATCCGAGCCATTAGTGATTATCTTCAAAAAGTCATGGAAGACAGGAGAGATTCCAGAAGACTGGAAAAAGGCAAATATAGTGCCAATCTATTAAAAGGGAATAAGGGCTACCCGGGGAATTACAGATCAGTCATCTTATCTTCAGTACCTGGAAAGATAATGGAGTAAATAATTAAGCAATCAATTTGCAAACACCTAGAAGATAATAAGGTCATAAGTAACAGTCGGCATGGATTTGTCAAGAACAAATCATGTCAAACCAACCTGATCGCTTTCTTTGACAGGATAACAAGCCTTGTGGATAGGGAGGAAGTATTAGATGTGGTATATCTTGGTTTTTAGTAAGACTTTTGACACTATCTCGCATGACTTTCTCATAAGCAAACTAGGGAAATTCAATCTAGATGGAGCTACTATAAGGTGGGTGCATAACTGGTTGGAAAACCGTTCCCAGAGAGTAGTTATCAGTGGTTCACAGCCAAGCTGGAAGGGCATAATGAGTGGGGTTCTGCAGGAATCAGTTCTGGGTCTGGTTCTGTTCAATATCTTCATCAATGATTTAGATAATGGCATAGAGAGTTCACTTACAAAGTTTGCAGATAATACCAAGCTGGGGGAGGAGGGGTAGCAAGTGCTTTGGAGGATAGGATTAAAATTCAAAATGATTGGACCAACTGGAGAAATGGTCTAAAATAAATAGGATTAAACTCAATAAGGACAAATGCAAAGTACTCCATTTAGGAAGGAACAATCAGTTGCACACACACAAAATGAGAAATGACTGCATAGGAAGGAATACAGCAGAAAGGGATCTGGGGAGGATCTGTGCCGATACGGTCTCAGCTGAAGTATTGTGGCCTGTTCTGGGTGCCACATTTCAGGAAAGATCTGGACAAATTGGAGAAAGTCCAGAGAAGAGCAACAAAAATGATTAAAGGTCTAGAAAACCCGACCTATGAAGAAAGATTGAAAAAAATGTGTTTGTTTAGTCTGGAGAACAGAAGACTGAGAGGGGCCATGATAAAAGTTTTCAAGTACATAAAAGTACAAGGAGGAGGGAGAAAAATTGTTGTCCTTAACGTCTGAGAACAGGACAAGAAGTAATGGGCTTAAATTGCAGCAAGGGAGGTTTAGGTTGGACATTAGGAAAACTTTCTAACTGACAGGGTGGTTAAGCACTGGAACAAATGGCCTAGGGAGGATGTGGAATCTCCGTCACTGGAGATTTTTAATAGGTTAGACAGACACCTGCCAGGGACGGTCTAGTTATTGCATAGTCTTGCCTTGAGTGCAGGGGACTGGACTAGATGACCTCTTGAGGTAGGGTGACCATTGTTCCCAAACAGAAAAGCAGACACCACGTGGGGCTAGCCCTCCTCCCCTCCCCCGGTGGGGCTGGCATCGCCACTCACCCTCTCCCTGCACGTTCCTCTAAAGGTGGGCATTTGTCCCATTTGCTCTTGCCAACTGATCAAGTTGGCAAGAGCAAACGGGATAAATGCCCCCTTTTGCCAAAAAAGCTAGGACAGCCAGGACAGGGCTTAAAAAAGGGACTGTCCCAGCCAAAATGGGACATATGGTCACCTTATCTCAAGGTCCCTTCCAGTCCTCCATGTCTTTGATTCTATGATTACCAGATCAGATTGGGGCTGGGTAGCTAATGAGCTAACTAGCACATTTGTTATGCTTATAAGAAGCACACAGGATCTTTTTCAGGGGAAAAGGCAATACACCGTATTTATTCAAGATACATCAATTAGCATATGCATTCAACCACACCACACACACACACACTGTCCTGCCAGTCGATGTTATAGTTACCAGTCCAGAGTCCAGATCAATCTAGTGGCCCGCTAGGTTGATCACGGGTAGGTAGGAACCGGGTTCCGTCGGTCACGACGACGCTCTGGGGAAGTCTTGGCAGGACGAACCCAAAGTTTCATGGCAAGGCACCCTGTTTATATAGTGATTTTCCTTCACTGGGACCAATGAGTTTTGCACCGTCATGCTGTAATCAATTGTTGTTTGACGAGTGCTTGTTTTCTTAAATTGTCCTTCTCATCCTTTATCTTGTTCTTTCATCGAGTCTCTCAGGGAGTTACCCCAGGCTGGTTTTGATCACAGCTATCTTGTCCCCATTGATAGGTGCCTGTCTCATCTTTAGAGTCATCAATCTGCCCTCCTCTGACATTTCAATAGGGGCATGTTGCAGCCTCCTGGCACCTTTGTGTCTGTCTCCAGTTCCTCCCTAGCACATCCGGTTCAGCTATGGCCTTCACACTTATCTCTTAACACACATTCCTCATTCACACACAAAACAGAATTAATTTACACAAAATATTTTGGACAGGAACATCAAGTTGCAATGCAAAAAAAACCAATCATGGCATTCTTTTACTTATTTT